TAAAATTAAAGTAATATTTATTTTATTTTAGCTCGTATCATTATATTCATTGAGGGGGCTACATTTATTAGAATGTCGGTTTCCAATAAGAGACCCCTAATAAAGTGGTCTACAACAGGGGTAACAAAACCATAAGAGCTGGAGATGCCCTAAGAAATCCTGAGCCTGAAAACAATGCCGCTAACTGTCCTTCCAGTTTTCAGTCTGCTTCTATGGCTTTTTGTGTTCTTCCAGTCTTTTCATTCATTTGATCCCAGAGAGTATTCAGTTACAGAGATAATTTTCTCTCGTGTTCCCGTTTTATCTGATCGATCCCTGCCCACTGCAGCTACATTTTTTGTTGATTTTTTTCAAACAAAGAAATGGAGAGAAAATCAGGAAGAAGATGAACAGCAGAACATAAACTACAATGAAGAGGAGTATAAGACTCCAACTCAAATTTTTTTCATTAACAATATCTATTACATGTAGCAGATATAAACTTTAAAACAATTCAAAATTCAAAAAGTTTTGTATTTTCCCTGAACAACTATTCTACATAAAAAGCAACAATAAAAGTACATCTAAAATAGTAAAAGACAACCAATTTTCTCGCATTCTTGCTGTGACTCTGCAGCCACTTTGTAGCCTGTCATTTCATTTGCATTTGCATTCCTTTTGCATTTCATTTACTGTTCATTGTAGCTTCATCTTCATCAACATTTGCAGCTTAGCTTGCTGCACATTTTTGCTGTCATTTGACAACTTCATTTCCATCATGTTTGCAGCTAAATTGTTGCCATATTTGCTGTCAAATTGCAGCTTCAATGGCTGTCAATTTTCAGCCTCATTGCTGCCATTTTATGGCAATTTCATTTCATTTCATCATTTTTGCGGGTTTGAATGCCGCATTTCTAATAACATGTCCAAAATTTTTTCCTACTTATTCCACTTCCATTATCTCAAACTAATCTGCACTGCATTGTCCATTGATTGTTTAGCGTTTGTTTTCTCTGTATAGCCTTGTTTTATCATCTATATATTTTTCAAAACCTTGAAAAAAGAAGAAGGAATTATTGTATTCGAAAGTACGGACATCAGTCTGTCTTTGTTGCATTGCTGACTAAGTTTTCTGCAAACTAGGTGTTCGGTCCAATTGTTATCCATCATGACTCGACACAAATTGCAGTTCAATCTCAAGTATCTGATCGAACAAGTTGCTGTCTTGGAGCATGCAGAAAAATTTGCGGCCTTGCATTGTGAAGATGTGACGAAAAGGAGTCACAATGAAATAGAAGACATGAGTGCTTATTTAGACGGTCTCCACAACTGGCGGAATGAAGCAGCGAAACTCATTGGAACTGCAAACACTCTCAAAAACAAAATCGAAACCTATTTGAAAAAAGACAAAATCGAAACCAATGGGAACACTGAAACGGCAAACGGATTACAAGACAAAATCAAAACCAATGGGAACAAGAAGTGTTCCTTTGGGCTGTGTCTTAATCCCATGTATCCCAACCAACTTAGCAATAAGGCAGAGCAGCAATGCAGGAAGATCGTGAAA